TTGAAGAGAAAATATTTGAAACTTACTCAAGAAATTGTTTTTTTTTTTTTTTTTCGAATAAAATTTTGCAGTGCCTCAAGTTTCATACGGCGGTTTTCCTTAGCACATCAGTGTAGAGTTTTCATGCTCTCGTGGCTTTTACGATGGTTTGAGCGTAATTTCTTCTCCACGTCGAAACGAAACGGGCGCCAAACGTGGACACGTTACGAGCAATTTATCCAATTAGCATCGAGGTACCTCCGGATCATTTCTTTCCTGGCGCGATCGCGGCCGCGCAGCGATAGGAAGCCGAGCTTGAAGCAAGGATGCCAGGTTGCACGATAAAAAAGGAATATTTGGATCGCATTCAGCAGAAAGGAACCAGCCCAATTACAGCGTTGTTAAAATGTCGCTTCTTAATAATTATCTGAAAAATCTTCCAAAACAGCAAATAGTTTTTGCATCCCACTGAAAAATCGTTAATTTTAAAGGAAAATAATGGAGATGTTGCATGTGTGAGGAATTTGCGATTTGACTGTTGATTCTTATGTCAAAGTTCGTGAGAAACACGGTGGTGCCACTGGTTTCCTCCAAGTCCTAAGTCCCAAGCTCAAAAACAGCTCTCAAGTTGAGGCCAAAATGGAGGGGATATCCCACCCTACCCTGAAAGTCCACGTCTACATCAAGACGAACTCTCCATGCAAAGATAGGGAGCAAATGCATTAGCAGTGATGCCGCGTGTTTTCAGTTTTGGAGTCTCCAAATAAAGTGGCAGCCCTGTCAATGTATTTGCTCCCTATCTTTGCATGGAGAGTTTGTCTTGATGTAGAGGTGGACTCGGACTCTCAGGATAGCGTGGGATATCCCCTCCATTTTGGCCTCAACTTGAGAGCTTTTTTTGAGCTTGGGAGATGATTTCAGAGAAAACCAGTGGCACCATCGTATTTCTCGCGAACTTTTACACAAGAATCAACAGTCCAATCGCAAATTCCTCACACATGCAACATCTCCATTGTCAGTGTAATTTTCAGTGAGAAATGCCCAAGATTCCCCAGGTAAAAATGCAATTTTTGAGGGGAAACCTGACAGCATTGAAATGTAGTTATGTCCTTTCGTCCGGGAAACGTCGAAATCTGAGAATGGAGTTGACGCATGCAGCGACGCGCACGTTGGATCCAGTTAATAGAGAGGTCGGACATGAAATTTTCAACTAAAACTGCAAATTTTGATGTTTAATTCGTCACATGTTAAATTTTGAGGGCTTCTTAATTTGAACGAAAATTTCACGAGGAAACCAATGAAACCACTTTTAAAACCACAAATTTTTTATGAGCTTTTAAAGTTCACTGGAAAAAAAACACATTGGATGTAGAGTCCAGACTCTTGAAAACATTGACAAGAAAAAGGACTCTTGATTCAATCAGATTTAAGCTTAAATCAAAAGGAAATCCGCTCAAATTAAGAGGCTTGGTTCTTGATTTAAGCAAAAATCCGATTGAATCAAGATTATTTTTTCTTGTCGATGTTTTTAAGAGTCTGGACTCTAGATACAATGTGTTTTTTTTTTCCAGTTTCCAAATTTTGTCCGGCCTCCACCTTTGATTCGATCCATTGTGCGACGCAGCGCAGCGGGGGATTTTCATTCGAACGTATTTCAATCAAAAGGAACTAAAGACATTGTGACATGAGCCCTGTCGTGCAAGTATTCTTATGGATCTCGGGTTCATGAGAGGATGGATACGGTTCCTCTTGAATAGGTCCATGTCATCGTTTGGTTCTGACAATGAGTTAAGGAGAGGTGTCGTCGACCCGAGACTTTGTGTCTCGAGTATTTGGAGGTGAGGATGGAGAGGAAAAAGAACTAACAGAAAGGGATGAAGAAGATGAGAGAACACAAGGGCAGGAAACAAGAGAAAAAAAACCAATTCTTACACTCTGTTTTCCTCCTCCTCATTTTCTTATCTTCCATAATTTGTTTCTCCCTTTTCTGCCTCCTAATCTTTATCTCTTCCTTGCTCTTGCTCTTATTCTTCCTTTCCTTTTCTTATTCATCTATTCATATTCTCCTTTTTCTTTTTCATCTACTCCTCAATCCATCCTCTTTTTCCGCCCGTTGTTGTTGTTGCTGTTGTTTTTTTTTGCTGTTTTTGTTTGTTGGTGTTGTTGTTGTTGTTGTTGTTGTTGTTGTTGTTGTTGTTGTTGCTGTTCTTCTTCTTATTCTTTTTCTTAATCTTTTCTGCTGCTTCTTCGTCTGTCTCACCTTTCGTCTCCATCCTCCTCTCCTTATTCTCCTTCTTCCCTATTATTTTCTTCTTTTTTTATTTTTCTTCACATCATCTTCTTCTTCCTCTTTCTCTTCCTCTCCTTCTTCCTCTCCCTCTCTCTTTATAACTCTTATTTTTTTTATCCCACAAGATTTCTCCTCGTGTTAAGAACCCAAGACGAGCCGAGGACTAGAATCTTGGGTCCTTTTCATGGCCTAAATATTAAAATTTCTAAGAATAGAAAACTAAAAAACTTATTATTGTAATTATTATTATTCAGTCTTTTGACGTACCTCTTCATTCTCTCCTTTTTCTTTTTTCCCCTCTAAGTCCTCCATCTTCTTTTCTTTCTTCTCGTTCCTCTTTTCCATATTTATTTCGGTTTCGTTCCTCAAGGAAACTCCTTATTTTACAAAGGATGAAGCGGTACATTCGATAAATTCCCGCTGAATGCACATTGAAAAAAAAATCTCGGTGTTTTTACTAAGAAAAGGGTATAAAATTACCAAGAATTCAGGGTTCTATTTGATCCCAGTTTTTTCTTGGTAAAATTACCATTTATGGAATTGGTAGTTTTACCGAGAAATCTCGGCAAAATTATTGAACTTTCTCAGTAATTTTACTGGACCTTGGTAAAAACACCAATATTTTTTATCGACTGTGGTAGAATTACCGAGATAAAATGGCAAAGTTACCGGGAATTGATTACCAATAAAAGTGGTACTCTTACCTAAAAAAAAAAACAGTAAAAATACCGGTTTTTAGGTAAGCTTACCAGTCTGTCTTGGTAAAATTACCAATGATTGGTAAAAAAGTGAGATGGTAAAGGTACCAACAGACCGTGGTAAAAACGCCGAGAATTTTTTTTCAGTGCAACAACTCCGCACTCTGCGCTCTCATTTTGGCCGTATTTTATCGTCTGATCTGACTATACTGCTTCCACTCGCTAACCAGTTTTTCTACTAAGCGCGATGAGTCTTCTTGTCGCTTCTCCACGTGAGAACATAGCTCAATTTTTCGCTTGAGCCCCAGAAAGCATGGGTCTATATGCAAAGTGGGACTCACGTGGAAATCGACATACACCCTTACATCAGTGGGAACGAGCGAGTTTCAAAACCAACTCTTGGAGCCATCCTAACCGTGAGATACCGTCAGGAAGGAATTTCTGCAGTAGCTCACTCTCTCTTATTTCACTTAATTCAATCAAATGGATGTGTTGAATTTTGGGCTTGTTCGGTGGCAGAATACTAAGCGGATTGGAGAAGATTTAGCTTCGTTGAAGGTTTTGTGAGAGCCTGGGAATCTGCGATACGGAATGTACCCAGAGATGCAATTTTCCATGAAAAATAAAATCTTGGAATTTCACATTAGATATTTCATGAAATTTCAGAAATGTATGAAAAATGTTGGAAGAGACCAGTTCCTCTTCAGTTTCGCGAAATATAAAAATTGTGACTTTTTTCTTTTTTGTGTGTTTCAGTGCGGGTTGCATACTCTACCCCCTGAAAAATATTAAATACTTCAGAGCCTCGTAAAATTTCATGAAATATTTTAACAGAAATGTCCAATCTTTCATATTTTTATTTCACGCAGTGGCGTGGCGTGACTATATCCGGTAGGCGTTCGGTAGGAGTGTTAACTATAGGACCGGGGGGGGGGGG